CCTCTATAATAAAACTCATTCCCCCAACAAAAGAAAGAAAAAGATTACACCTTTTTCAGTATTTTTTTAATATTCAAAGAAAAGAAGAAGAAGAAGGAATAAGAGTATGAAAAGAGAGATTTACAGAGGAATTGCGAGCTCGGCATTCTCACTTTCTCTCTCTAAACTATGTCGCTTTCTCTCTCTAAACTCGGTTTCTCTGAGTTGAGAATCCAAAGCACCTGAGGGAGTGAGAGAGTGAGCTCTCTGGCGGTGATATGGGGGGGGAATAAACGGCGCCGTTTGGGCTGTGTCCTCATCTCTTTGATTGTGGGTCCCGCGGCCGAGTGGAGTTTTGTTTTGAGCCATGTACGTTAACTCACAAACTTCACAAACTTACTATTTATGGTTTAAATTTTCATTTTAAAGTTAGTCTAGACTATTTAATTTTATTTATTAAAATTCACAAATAATAAGTTTGTAAAATTTGTGACAATTTTATTTGTGAATCAAGCATTTTCCTTTTGTTTTGCTGACGTGGGAATATGGAACGTTTGGGCGGTTAGAACGTCGCTTTAACGCTCCCTCCCTCAATTCTTTGCAATCCTAATTTATAAACAAAAAAAGATTATGGAAGCATTATAAAAAATTTTGGAGTTATAAAAATTTTTATGAGCTCCATATCTACTACTGAGACCATGTGCAGTGACAAAAAAGAGGGATGTATTACACTGTTACATCAATTCCTTCCTTTCATAACATGATATGGCCAGGGGCGGACCCAGAACTTTTAAACCGTAGGGTCGAAATTTAGAAAATATATATCCAATCGCCACGCTTCTAACAATAAATAAACAGTATTCTATAGTACATAACATTAAAGTTTATATATGTTATTGAAAATACTAACTAAAAATAGTTCTACATTGCAAATATGAAATACATCTTTGGATTCTCACTCAATTCTTTCTTTTTAAATCTTGGTGTTTTTTAAAATACCTTTGCATCCTATATGAAATTTAAATAATTAAAAACATTATAAACTTAAAACATAACCTAATTATATTAACATATTCACAAATCACAATCTTAAAAAAATAAACGAATTCAATTCCCTATTCTGCTTTTCACAATAACAAATTTAAAAAAATAAATTAAAATTTTCATAATTTACAAATAAAAAAAAGAAATATCCAATTTAGATAATTAGATTCAATAATGTAAGAGAAAAAATCTAGCAAAGTAGAAATAGAAGATGAAGATTTGTTCGAGAAATTGGGGGTGTCATCTTCCAAAAAATAATATATACTCATTCCTTTGCATCCTATATTGAAATTTAAACAATTAAAAACATTATAAACTTAAAATATAACCTAATTATATTAACATATTCACAAATCACAATCTTAAAAAAATAAACGAATTCAATTCTCTATTCTGCTATTCATAATAACAAATTTATAACAATAAATTAAAATTTTCACAATTTAGAAATAAAAAAAGAAATATTCAATTTAGATAATTAGATTCAATTATGTAAGAAAAAAATCAGGCAAAGTAGAAATGGAAGATGAAGATTTGTTCGAAAAAATTTGGCAAAGTAGAAATGGAAGATGAAGATTTGTTCGAGAAATTGGAGGTGTCATCTTCCAAAAATTAATATATACTCATTCCTTTGCATCCTATATTGAAATTTAAATAATAAAAAACATTATAAACTTAAAACATAACCTAATTATATTAACATATTCACAAACCACAATCTTAAAAAAATAAAGAAATTCAATTCTCTATTCTGCTATTCACAATAACAAATTTATAACAATAAAATTAAAATTTTCATAATTTACAAATAAAAAAAGAAATATTCAATTTAGATAATTAGATTCAATTATGCAAGAAAAAAAGTACGGAAAAATATAAATGGAAGATTTGAAGATTTCAGAATAACAAATTTATAACAATAAAATTAAAATTTTCATAATTTACAAATAAAAAAAGAAATATTCAATTTAGATAACTAAATTCAATTATGCAAGAAAAAAAGTACGGAAAAATATAAATGGAAGATTTGAAGATTTCAGGATAACAAATTTATAACAATAAAATTAAAATTTTCATAATTTACAAATAAAAAAAGAAATATTTAATTTAGATAACTAGATTCAATTATGCAAGAAAAAAAGTCCGGAAAAATATAATAGGAAGATTTGAAGATTTGTTCTTGAAATTGGGGGTGTCACGCTGTCACCTTCCAAAAAAATCACATACTCATATTCCTACATCAAGTTTTCGAACTCAAGACCGCATGCCTCAATGCAAAACGCGGAACAAACCACTCCTTCAGCGGGTACAAGTTGTAATTTATAGCGTTTGTTAAAATATATACTAAGTCTAAGTATACACTAAGAAAATTTTATATATATATATATATATATATATATATATATATATATACTAAAAAAATTTATAATTTCCGTGGGGTCGCTTGACCCCGTATGACCCAATGTGGGTCTGCCCCTGGATATGGCAAGGACAAAATGCCTTGCTTGGTGAGGCATGGGTATGACACTCTACCATTCTTTTTTTCTTTTTTTATATTTTTTATGAAAAAAATGTACAAGAAATTAGAATAGTTTTTTCATAAAATAAATAATAAAAATATTTTTTTATGTTTAAAAAACATTAAAAAAATGTAAAAAGTGATAAAAATAATGACTTGTCACTGTAGAGTTTGTCACTCCACTCACTTGTCACGCGCTGACTGGACTATTTTTGAATAGTTAAAATGTTTCACGTCATCGTGCGACATTCCACTTTTGCCTCGCCATTGGTTATGCTCTGAGTCCTAAAAAAGAAAAAGTTTAAAGAGTGATTTAATTTTTCTGAAAGTCTAATATACTCTCCATTCTAAAATATTCATCTAATTTGATTTTTTCAAATCAAATTGTACGAATGATAATTATTAATTACATTAATTTTGTACTACATTTTTGCAAATTATGCAATAAAATAAACTTTTGATCCTTTTTTACAAGATGACTCTAGTGAAATTATATTTGTACTAATATCAAGTATACTAAATATTAATGAATACTCCGTATTAATTATGACCATTTTGTCATCAGCGTTTGAGATTATCGTTAACGTTTTGAAAAAATTATCCGATGCTAGCCATTAGTATTAGCACTTTCAGGATTAATCTACATCAAACAAAGCCTATATTTGTACTAACGTAGTAAATTATATGTGTGCTAATATTGAATATGTAATCATTTAATCAATGATTAACATTTATTTAATTAAAATTTAAAAAGTCAAACTCAATATAGATTGTTGTCCTTTTCTCGATGTGTAATGCCTCTGCTCCCTATGGATCTCCCTCCCACATTCCATGTGCGACTTTGACCTTGATAAGAGGAGCCCTCTTATCTCATTAATATTGATTAATTTATTTTTCTTTTATCAAAATGAAAAATTACAACAATTTTTGGACACTAAATTGTACGTAAAGTGCAGCTGGATGTACGTTATTTTCCGTACATCTGTGACGAATATTTATTTTTGAGTAACAAAATTTTCATTGCACATCTTTATTTTAACTGAAATAAATATTGTTTTACTCGTAGATATAATTTTTGTATAAAGATAAATAGTATCGGATATTATTTATTTTTCAAATTAACATACATATATTTTTGATGAATGTATATTAAAATAAATAAATATTCGAAATGAGTATTCTGTAATTATAAGATGACAATGTTCTGTGTAGCAAAAAATAATTTGTATTCTGTGACATAAATATTCTTTTTTATAGTTTAAAAGTGAGAAATTCAAGAGGGACCCATCACCAATCACCATAAATTTAATGTGGTTCATAGTTTTATTTTGAAATTACATTAACAGAGCATCTCTAATCACACTTACTAAATATGGCTTGTTAAGGTTATTTTTAGCACATAGATATTGTTATAGCAAGTTATTTTGCATTGTCATCTTCAACCTTTGCTTGCTATAACTTAACTAAACTATAATGATTTCACGATTATAGTAAAATATTTCAATATTCAAACTATATACTCTAAATTTTAATTTGAACTTTTATAAGATTCATTAAGTTAATCAAATTAAAATAAAAGTTGAGATTAGATTTGTACCCAAAATGATTATATCCACGCCAATATCAAACTTATATTAATGGGATTTAAGAAGGTTTGATATCAAGAAGGTTTTTTTTATTTACAAAAGCTAGGAGAATCTCACATTTGATACCACTTTTGACATTATAGTGACACATACCCAAAGTATAATATATTTATCTATTGACAACTATATGTGTGTACTTGTGAAACACTATGGTACCAAATGTGGAATTCTCCTAGCATGGTTCTTGTTGCTAATGTTTACTTAATTACAAAGTTGAAGTTTCACATGCCACATGCAGCCCTTCATTTAGAACATGTTCTAACAATTCACATCAAATCAAAAACTATTTTAGATATAATTACATTTCAATCAAAACTTATTCTAATTAAATCAGAATCAACCAGACTAACATCAAATCAAAAACTATTTTAGATATAATTACATTTCAATCAAAACTTATTCTAATTAAATCAGAATCAACCAGACTAACTGAAGAGAACAAGCCCTTAGTCCCCTCCTAATAGATGAAGGGTTTCATCATTACAACTATTGATTGGCAATACTCAACCTTTTCCATTAGTAAAATCTTTGTCAGCATGATTCTCAAGTCTCATTTGGTGAGCACAATATTATTGGAATGGAATGATTTTTTTATATCTAAGACATATTGATTGAGTTCGACTCCTCAAAAAAATGGAGTTCGACATTTCAATCCGAATTGATCGATGAACGAAATTGGAATGAAATCAATAGAACACAATTGTTTAATAAAATTACAATAGAATGCAATTTGATACATAGAACACGATTATTTGCTCGATTCCACTGTCTGAGCAGCAATGATCGACTACTCAATCGTAGTCAAATTTTGGCAAGTCTAATCATGCTCGGCGATATCCCAATGGATATGAAAAACATAAATGATTTTGTGCAACATAAGAATGTCACAAATGAGTGAGTGTTTATATTTGGCAAACAATGCATGACTTATCAAAATTTTACAAACCTCATGAATTTCTACCTAAAGATAAAAAAACAAGACAGTTCAAAACATCATTTATGCATTGAATCAGAGGGGAAAAAAAGAGTTTACATTAGTCGCGCTAAAAATATATGTGTGCGGTTTGATGATGAATGGGTGATTATCTCATAAAAGGTACCAGCCATCGCATCTCCGCTCCATTTCCATTGGACAGGTAGTAAATCTTCTTCCAGTTTTCTTCCGAGAATGACTCACGACGTATAAGTCTTTGCCTACAAAAATTATATGAGCACGTAGTATGTGTTTAAAAGAGTTGAGTTAGTTGGGGTCTGGTTCCCAGGAGAATGGCCTTACCGTGAGAAATGAGAATGATTCATTTTTGGTTCTTCATGAGGCATTGCATTTCGCAATGGAAGGGAAGTTTGACTTATTTACGATTGTGCCACTGTGTTTTTCAATTTTTTTCCCCTAATTTTTCACTTATTCACAAGTAAATCACAACCCTTTGATCTTAAAATCCAATGGATCCCATGGATTCTCATTTCTTTCATGGTGCATCATTTTCACGTGAACCAAAATCTATATGTATACATAAACCGTGTGAGCAGCAGAGGCAATCATATGAATCCGGTGATTGTACCTGAGGTAGTAATAACAAACTACGGCAGCTTCATCCAAGGAATATCGAGGGTAATTCAAGCGGGCATCAGCAGGAACATCTGGTAAGTCTTGACGCAGTTTCCCTACTGCCGTTGAATGAGAGAAAGCACCAACCATCATGTCATCGTGAAGCATGGATCTGAATGCATTGACCTACACAATGATTCACCGCACTCTCCATCAAATTATTAAGTTTAAATGACACTATTGTCCTGTGCCACACTGCCACTTTGTTCCATTTGTGACACCCACTAAAACCAAGCCAAACAAACCCAGTACTCCAAGGAGTATAAAACCTGTTCTCGTGAAGACCCCAAGAAACAGTGACCCATGGTGTGAGGAGTGCAAAAGATTGGAGTTTAAGATACAGATGTCTTACAGTGGTAAGTTCTCTACCATGGATGGGCCTGCAAGACCGAACAGTTGCTGGTTCTTGGTATTCACTGAATGTAAACCAACTGTTGTACTGTCATAAACATAGGCATGACACAAACTATGTCAGATTAGATGCAGGAAGAGAGCATATTTAGGAAGATAAGCTTATTAAAAGGAAGAATGTGTAATTAAAAGATATTGGGAATAAAGTTTCACCTGGTCAACTGCAATAAGAACAGGCATATCTTTCACAAGAGACAATTCTTGCCTCAATCGAACAACCACTCCAACAGAGGCATATGTGCTGCTAAGACCTCTTTCAACGAGGTCAAATAGACTAAGACCCTCTGTTATTGTCATAGTCTGATCACCTTTTGGGGGTCCAACTCCCACACCCTCTCCCAAGGGAATTGGGTCAAATATTTTGCATGGCAACTTTTGCAAATGTTGTTCATTATACTTCAAAAAATCCTGAAATAAAATGAAAATGAACTTAGGGACCAAATATGGTTCAAACTGCATGAAGATATAGTGATGCTAAAAATTTACGGTCAAGTAGTTATTGAAAGACCTAGTAAGTAGTACTCAAAAGATACATAGCATAGGCGATACTGAAAAGCACCATACCAATTTTAACTTGCTGAACTAAAAGTACTAGATCTCTGTAGCCAAATATATGACCAAAGAGATCAAAATATTGCTGATAATGATGCTATTGCAGTTTATCAAATTACAAGTAGAAAAATTGCCTTGAGAATATATTGACATTGATGGAACACAAGCGCCCACAGTTAATAAGATAATTTTATTGCAATCTATTAGAAAGATTAAAATCCTTGCCTTGAGAATATTTGCTGCATGAGCAGGAGTATCCCATAAAGCATTTGTAAGATTTTTATAGAAAAATCCTCCATGAGTCCATTCTCGGCCTCTTGGAACATAGAAGACCAACCATCCTTCTTCCCGTGCCCAGTGAACAAGCATTGCAAGAGCAATACTCTTTCCACAGCTCACAGGACCATCTAAAACAATCTGTTTCCGAGGTTTAGAACCTGCAAGTTTGAAGACCACATCAATGAATGATCCTAAGTACTACCTACTGCACAACACATGAAAGTGTATTGCGTTTCGTATTAGTTCATTCTTTTACTGGCGCCACAAATGTACTACACACAGTTAGAAATTTACAAACAATATACTCCCTCTGCTACCTGTCTTGGACTCTTGGTCAACAAAATCACACAGTTCAAAAGAGTAAATTGTAATGAAAAATTAGTCACAGCTTTTAATACCTTGTCTTATAAGCCCTCATTAAATAACACTCTCTCGTGAATGTTTCCTTTGGGAAAAAGAATAAATTGAAATATTGAATAGGATAAGACGGGTAGATTGGGGAAAATCATTCATATGTCTAGATTCCATAAATGGAAAAATAAAAAAAGGAACAAGGAAAAGTGTTCAGCCTCGACAAAAATAAGAAGGAAAATCAAAATCAACAAATAAGAGCAGGAATTGTAAATACTTTTTAAGTATCATCATTATTCTCAGCACCTTGATCCCAACTAGATGGGGTCTGGTGGGTGGTGGCATAAAATATATTGTACTAATTAATTGTAACAATGTTTTGGTTGCAATAGTTGTTATGTATATAGCATAGGTATAACGGCGCCAAGCGAGACACGGCATTAGTGTACTGCCAGGACACCTAGGTGAGCATATAGGTGAGAATTAGGTGACTAGACATAAATGAGACTATAATTCAAAAAGTTTAGACTCTGATAATTCAAAACATATCAAACTATTTACTATAATTCAAAAAGTTTAGACTCTGATAATGTATTATAAAATTTTATCAAAAACACAGATTACTAAAATATCTTAATAAAACATAACTTAAAAACTTTATTAATATTTAAAAATAGATTAATACTTAAAGAGAGAAATATTGACAACAATTAATACAAATTACAAATATTAAACAACAAAACCGATGGTTTCTTTTTGGTTTGTAGACAAAGCAATTTGAGGACAGAGATATATGTGATAGTCTTTGAAAGAATAACACATCTTTCCTTTTTTATTTTTTATTTTAATGGTTCTTTGCTTAATGTGGTGTAATAAATTTCATATTCTAGAGCGCAGCTTGCAGGACTATGCAGGGTGGAGGTCATATTAATTGTGTATTCTGTCAACTAATGTGATTGAAGAAGAATCAACATATGATTTGCTGGGCACATAGAGTAAGTAACATTTCATGGGGTCAATAATTATCTTTGTCCCGTAAGAATGGCATTGTAGACTAGTAGCTGCAAAAGAGTTTTTTAGGATCTCATCATGTGTAAGATGTGAATGAGTATTAGCCTAGTGGCCTCTGAGTATTTTACTATTGGTGGTGTTTTTATATTTATTTTTTGTGAGATAGATTTGGGGACGGGGTGGTTGTTTTATGGACCACTTGTTAATGAAACTTCTATACAATTTACAATTGACCTTCATGAGAGCTAAGGCTTTTTATCCAGAAACTGGTTAGAATGGAGAGTTTCAACACATAAACAGATAAAAACTAGGAAATGGGTAAGGGATAGGCATTCTCCAATTTGAGAAGACCTTGCAACATCAGCTTTGAAGTCAAGCATGTGACTACAGTCTTGAACACTTCTTAAATATTGGCCACAAAGTTATCCCCACTTCGACAAACTAAAATTAACGGGTCCTAGGGTTAAATCATGAACGATCTGTGTGGAATGTGTTATCCTTTGTAAATGGAACTATCCTGAATGGTTTCTTTTCTTTAAAAGGTGTAACGGTCCAAATTTTCTTATTTGTTGAAATGTTTCACAAATATTTAGCAGATTTTCCTTCTTCATTACACCAAGGATGCATAGAAACAGTGTAGATCCACCAAAAGAAAAGAAAGTGGGAAAAAAACCAAACCTTTGACATTAGTCTGCATAGTAGGATCAACAATCCGCCTGAAATTATCTCGGAGATCCAGAAAGCTCTGCCGTATGAGCAATGCATTTCGCTTCGAGTCCTCAAATTCATTCAGCATTCCCTTTGGCAATCCTTCAGGCAACACTGCTTCCAATTCCTCTATACTACACCGCAATTTCAATCAATACAACAACAAATTCGCATACAGAGACACACGAATGAAAGGGGAAAACCTGAATTTCATGTAAGTGCAAGTATCTTTTTTGCTGAGCTGCGAGAGAGAGGCTGCAGAGGTGAAGAGCGGCTGCAGATTCGGGCCAACATCTAGGGATGCATCCTTTTCGTCTTCCGCTAGAGCGCGCAGGCGAGCTCCGTCATTGATGCGGTTGATGGTTTCGGCCTCCAAGGATCCTCCGGGTGCTTCAAATCCCTTCTGAGTTCCTTTCTTTCCCTTCGGCAAGCTTTGTTTCGCCGCTGACGCAGAGAAGGCTCTAGAAGAGGACAGGTGTTGAGATAACGAGGCAATGGCGGGGATAAGCACATCAGAGACGGCGGGTTGCGATTTCGCGGCGGCCGGAGTGGAAGCGGCTGCTCGGAGAATTAACCCCAGCATCTCTGTGCTTCTAGAATTGGGTGTGGATTGGGGATACCTGAGAAGGAATGGTTCCGCCGCCGAGAAAGCCTCGCTTCGTCACTGCAAATTGGAAACTAATGGAGTAATTAAGGCCATGTTTGGGATGAGAACTAAACTACCAATACACAAGTGAATTCCATTTTACCTAAGGGTAATAACTCTACGTGCAAATGTCGCGTGTTCGATCTCTAGTGAAAGTAATAATTCTACGTGTATAATCAGTTGATAATGTACATTAAAAGGGAGACTAAAATATAAAAATAGAAAATACATGCATAAAAAATACTGGTTTGGTTGGTATGGTTAGATTAGTTGCCATTGACCCAACTATGACTAAAACCCGAGACTACCTGGCAACTGAAATTACAGGCTATTTAGTTGGTTAGGATGCATTTTGATAAGAGTAGAGAAGGAAATATTAACAAATATGTGAGAATAGAGAAAAAATAGTAGCTAATGATCTTATGGTCCAAGGACATGATGTTGACTCTCTCATATAAAATGTCGCATGTTCGATATCTAGTGAGGGTAATAACTCTACATTCTTAATCTGTTGATAATGTATAAACAAATACTACCCTCACCGAAGCCAATACCGAGCCCACACTCGGTAGCCTTATAACTATGCCCATATTGTTAAACATATAAGCCAGTATTGAAGCACCCATGTAATTATATACGAAGTATACAAATTATAGAAACCTTAGTGTCATTATTTATTGAATCTCGAAAGTATTTTGTGTCGGGCATTTAAATTTTTCTAATCAAGGCCTGTTTGGTAAGTTTTGAAAATATGATATAATACTCCGAGTATGAGCTTTGCAATCAGGAAGAAATTTTATGTTGTCTTAAATTCGAAACGAAGTTATTTAGAAAGATTTTAAATTATGATTTAATTAGAGATAAATGAGATAACAAGGGGGTGGTGACTGTATCAACCGGTAAGGCTATTGGGTGTGCAGCGAGAAGCTGACCTAGCTGTGGGAAGGAAAAGGGAACACCGCCCTCCATTGCGGGAACATTAAGAGCGGGGCTCCCTCCCCATTTTCCCCGTTGGTCAACATTCAACTTTTCTTCTTCTTTTATTTTTTGAAAAATCAGTTGTTAGGACTAAAAAAAGAAATTCAAAATTTTTCAAAATTCTCACTATTTAAATACAACACTTTAGTCATATTTTTCGCACACTTTCCATTCATTTCTTTGAGTTATAGTGTTGTTTTTGTTAAATAATTTTTACTTCCTCCGTCCTAGAGTATTTGTCCACTTTCATTTTTACACACCATCCAATACACTTCTTTAATCCATTTTATCTTGTAATTTGTATATTAAAAAATTATAGAAATTATATATTAATAATCTATATGTTAAGACAAATCAAACAAGATCACACATGACTATATTTAGGCTTACGCATTGAGAGAATTTGATGAGTCAAAGTGCTTAGATGAACAGTTCCAAAAGTCAAAAGTGGACGAATATAGCGGGACGGAGGGAGTATATATTTGAGTGCCATGGATCCATTCCGACCACCAGTGTCTTCCTTTGACTCTCCATTTCCTTCATTTGCGGTTTACGCTTAAGGGCCGACTTCTTTCCAAATGTTCAACTATTTTATAATTTTATTGTTTTTAGCTTATTTATTTGAATTAAAATAAATATTAAAAAATAAGATTAAAAGTGAAGGGGAAAAGGAAAACATTTTCATGAAAGGGGAAAGTAAAAGGAAGAAAAATTAAAAACTGACCTTATAGAGGGGAATGTGTGGAGCACACCCCATAGCCTAATGGGTGGAGGTCGTATTAGAAATTAGAATGAGTAATACTTCCTCCGTCCCAAAATGTAATAACCAATTACTCCGTACTTTTTTGTTCTCAATAACTTTTGTTTATTTATTTGTTTTGGTTACCATTTGATAAAATAAAATATTATTGTCGCTTCTTGTTTTGTAAAACTTTTGATCTATTTTAAAAGATGTAATTTAATTTTGTATTTCTCTACCAATTTGTAAATAAAATAATTTTAAAAGAGATGATATATCGTACATAGTTCAAAATGTTGCTTACATTTTAGAATGTAGAGATATATTATTGGAACACCACCTAAATCAATGCTGAGTCCCACTATACCAGGAGAGGCACGGAGCAGTGGGAGCACCACAGCCAGCTTCTAGAACCCACACCGACTCCTATTCTTCGCCTCTGTGTATTTTTCACCATGCCAGGGATTCAAGCTCTTCTTCTTCTTCAATGCTCTCCATCCATTTCGGCTCTCTCGCCTCCACTGCCTTCTTCAATTTCTACTCCAGTTTCTAATAATGGCTGCAAGCCGTCCTTGAAATTCACCGTTAAGTGTTGCTCGGAGGCGTCGCCGGTTACTGTGGTTAACGGGAATGTAGAACGGCGATCTGCTGAGAGGAATGAGGTTCGCCTTGGCTTGCCTAGCAAAGGCCGATTGGCCGAGGACACTCTCGATCTTCTCAAGGTATATTTGCCATCACCCCCATGGATTCATCTTCCTCATCCTCATTTAGGTATTTTTTTTGTCTTTTCATTTTCTTATGGTGATTGATAGGACTGCCAATTGTCAGTGAAGCAAGTGAATCCAAGGCAGTACGTTGCGGCAATTCCTCAGGTGCTCTGAGCTTTCCTTTTATGATTTGGTTGTGTGAGTATGATGCATTTGGGGTTAACCACTAGGTTTTTCCCTCCTTATCTGAGATTGATTTACTTGTGGGGCTTAGCTTAAACAACAACAATAAAGAATCCCTCAGAAGTAGGGTATGGAGAGGGTGTGTGTTCCACTCGAAAGTAGGGAGGATGTTTCCAAGATACTCATTGTTTAGGAAACACAGAAACAAAGCAGGAAAGAGCAAATTAAGGATTTAGAACATGAGATTTCTTAACCATCCAACAATTCTCTCCATAAAGCTTCTTGTCACAAAGGACCCCAAAAGAAGCCAGCTTTCACTTTTCCCAAACGACTCCAATACGATGGACAACATCCCCTTCTATCTCCCAATTTTTCTTAATGACCGGACCAAGATACCAAAACTTATCTTTCTTAGGCACTGAGAATCAATCCTAACTTCCAAATTCGATTTCGTCACCTGACCACCCAAGCAACATTCTAAGTACTCAATCTCAGTCCTGCACAATCTGAAGCCTTTAGATTCTAGGCAACGCCACAACTCCAACTTGTCATTGAGTCTCTCACGTTTGGCTGCCACTTTAAGTTAATTCTGATAATTTGCGAAGCCCTGAAGCAATTGGTAGTGCGAAAAGTAGGCAAGAATGGAGGGTTTTTTTTCATTAAATATTTAAATACATAAGCAAAAAAATCGATGAAATCTATAGTTTACCCTAACCTTCTATCGCTTATACATTGACACTTGGACTGTTATAGACTCTTCAACATGAAAGCAGCATGTCTTCAATGCTGTAATCTGTGTAATTTACTTGGTTCAAAAGGAAATGAGATTTTAATGTGATAGGATACTATGAGGCATTGCATATTCAGAAAATCCAACAAGTATATTGGGTATTTAAACACTTCTTATCCAATCATTATGCATGAAATTATTGGTGGGGGCCACATTTGGTTTCTTAGCCAATTTCTGGACACCTACCAAACTCAAACAATCAAAAATGTTCTTGATACAATTTATTTCCATTCCGTAAAGGACTCGATGGTGCCTGAGGGTATGTGCTAATAACAGCTGAACAAAACACCTCAAAGTTGATGGTTTGTGTAAGATATATGTACCATATTAGTATATTACATTATATGTAACTTTCATAATACTGGGAGAAAAGTGCAGTTTTGATTTGGACTGGTTTCTTTAATTTTTTACAATATTTTTTCTTAAAAAACTGAAAATGCCTCTACATGTCAAACCAAACAGACATAAAAAAAATATGCACCATTTGATTGTTTATTGCTTGCATTTTTACTTGATAGTATGTTTTACAGTTTTGTTGGCTAAAATATTCTTTGTGATTTTTTCCGGTCCCGACTTTTATGGGTGTCCTTCCAGATCTCAAATTTAGAGGTTTGGTATCAACGGCCAAAAGACATTGTGCGGAAGTTGGTTTCTGGTGATTTAGACCTTGGTATTGTTGGGTTGGACACATTTTTTGAATATGGACAGGTAAGATTTGAATGTCGATAATGACACGAGTTATCTTTTCCCTGAATAAGTGTAGTTTCATGCTGGATTGGAAACAAGAAGATCTATATTTGGGAAATGGGAGTTCTCTTGTAACGTGCTGTATTGGCCGATTTATAATTCATGATTTTTTTCACATCCATTGTGTCTGCACAAACTGATGTTTATGATTTCTTATTGAGTCAATTCGACTACATGCTCTGTTATTTAGTAGAACCATTATGATTTTTGCAGACTGTTTGACATCTTCTTGGCAGGGGAATGAAGATCTCATTATAGTTCATGATGCTCTAGAATATGGAAATTGTCGATTATCTCTAGCTGTGAGTAACAATGAGCTCTTTATAGAAAAACATTCAAATTGTGTCATGTTATGTGCATTCCTATCACTATTACTATTCTTCCAATAATAATGATGTGCGACTGGAAATACATGTGCGTATGTGCAGATACCAAAGTATGGAATTTTTGAGAATGTGAACTCATTGAAGGAGCTAGCAGAAATGCCACATTGGACACCTGAGAGACCCTTGAGAGTAGCTACGGGTTTCACATATGTATGGTGTACTGCAATTTGACATATTCATCTTCCTTTTCCCAGATACGGAGTATATATTATTGTGGTCACAATTATTATTTTTAAGTTTGATGATATTTTTCCCTTAACATTCTCCATTTCTTTCGCAGATGGGGCCCAAGTTTATGAATGAAAAAGGACTAAATCACGTTATCTTTTCAACTGCGGATGGAGCACTGGAGGCTGCTCCAGCTGTAAGACCAAATTTACCTATTTTAAACAGATTCAGTTTTCTTAAGTTCTGTCTTATTGAGATTGACTGTTTGTATTGTACTAAATACATAAATGAAATATTTCTTCTCTTTTTCACGAATCAATTACTACTTTTGATGCTAAGACTCGCCTAAGAGCCATGTTTGTTTTTGCTATATTTGTTGCATCAAAGAAATATGTCGTTCTATTTTAAATGTTATGGTTTGCTCTTTGAAGTTTTATCACATTTGTTCTTTTCCAGCATTTCTTTTGGTGATCTTCAAAGACAATTGCACTTACAATTTCTTTTGAATATGTAATTTTTTTTTTAAATCTATCATGGTTCCCTAATTTATGGGACAGCACCGGGTAGGTTGTTGTTGCTGTTGTCATTTCCTCATTTCTTCCTAATATAGATGGGGATAGCCGATGCAATTGTAGACCTTGTGAGCAGTGGAACAACTTTGAGAGAGAACAATCTGAAAGAGATTGCAGGTGGAGTCATCTTGCAAAGTCAGGTAATTTTCAGCCTCTAATGCTAATGGGTTTTGCTAATGTCAGTGTGGAGTGTTTATTACTCAGAAAGTTATTGATTGAGACTAAATTTAATGGGGAAGAGAAAGAGTTTTGAAATATATGTATGCACTATTGATAATATTTCATGAGGAAAGATTTTGTGTGTGTGAATGTCAGAAATAGATATTAATAGGCCATTACTTTTGGGTAACAAATGCTCCTGACTGTCATTTGCAAAACCCTTTTAAGTATACATAATACATAATAAAGTGCAATGGCCCTTTGACCTCATTCTTTCCAAAGATCATTGCCACCATTATAAAACACTACAAAAATCGTTATAAAATATAACTGCGTAATAGTATCATTTTTTAAGGAAAGAATGCGGTCAAAGGCACATTGCACCGTATTATGTTATAAAATATTAATAGTATCATTTTAAAACATGTTTTTTGCACGGGCAGACACATTTTCAAGAGCTGTAGAGTTCCAAAAGTCTGCATAGTCACATGCCCTCATTATGACATATTAGTACAACACCTGATGGACCTAAAATATTCTGATTAATATTTCTGCACAGGCGGTCCTTGTTGCTAGCAGGAAATCGTTAATACGTAAGGATGTGCTAGATATAACACATGAAATGCTTGAAAGGCTGGAGGCTCATTTGCGTGCTTCGGGTCAATTCACAGTGTGTAAAATCTCCTCCCAACATTTCACTTGTTCCAAAAACAATTGGTTCTTGATAATTTTCATGGCAGGTAACTGCCAACATGAGGGGAAACTCTGCAGAGGAAGTAGCTGAGCGCGTACTGAGCCGAAATTCATTGTCAGGGTTGCAGGTACGGACTAAGATGATTACTGAAGAGTTTTTTAATAGAGCAACAAATTTTCTTACTAGCCTTTGACAGAGGGATAGTAATCACACTTCATTAACTGTTAGCTACTCAATTCTC